TCCAAATAACATCAATTGAACAAACAAAACCGTTTGCCTACAGTACAACAGTAATAGTAACAGAAGAGCTTGGCCTCCTACAACCAATGCAGCCTCCAAGAAAATTGACTGGAAAACCAAAATGGAAGGTCAGGTTGGAATTGAAAATCAAAAATCTACGATCAGATGCAAGTAACCTGAAAAATATGAAGGAGAAGAAATTGAAGAATGACAAAATCAAGCAATATCTGATCAGAAAGTACTGGCTGAACACCAGAAAAATTGAAGAAGCTTTGGAAATCGTGAAAGAACAAATTACAGCAACAGCCAGAAAAATTGAAGATATGATGCCAAAATCATCTAGAACAGACAAAACCAACTGTTTAAATCAGACCAAAGACAGTTCTACCAGAGTCTGAACCAAACAACAGACACAGTAGTCATAAAGCCTGAGAAAACTACAACAACTACGTTTTGGAAAGAACTCTGGGAAAATAATAAGAACTACAACAAAAACGCTGGGTGGATAACTGAGTTTGAGGAAAAATTCTCACAGAACAAAATAACAACTGAAATGATCAGCAAACGAGTGCAAAAAGTCAAGAACTGGACATCGCTTGGTAGTGATCAACCGCATGGATTTTGGCTAAAATATCTGACTAGTCTACATGGAAAACTGGCCCAACAATTCAATGAGATGCTGAAAAAAGGAAGTATCAGTGAATGGTTAACAACTAGGAGAACATATCTGATACAAAAGGATCCAGCAAAAGGAGCAGCACCAGGAAACTGTCTGCCCACTATGTTTAAAGTATTGACTGGCATCATAGCTGACAGAATTCAAGATTATCTTGAAGAAAATAACATCTTGCCAGATGAACAAAAAGGCAACAAACGGAAAAGCAGAGGCACAAAAGGCCAGCTATTAATTGACAAAATGATTCTGGAGAACTGCCAAAGCCGAAAAACCAATCTTCACATGACGTGGATTGACTACAGAAATGCCTTTGACTCCCTCCCACACAGTTGGATCATCAAGTGCCTAGACACCATCGGGATTTGTAAAAATGTTGGCACTTTTATTGAAAATATGATGAAGCACTGGAAAACTGAACTGTTTGTTGGAAATGAAAACTATGGACTTGTCAACATCAGAAGAGGAATTTTCCAGGGAGACTCATTGTCCCCACTGCTTTTCATCATTGCCATGATCCCTCTGTCAACAGTCTTACAAAAAACAAACCTCGGCTATCAAACGTCTCAGAGATCTCACAAAATTTCACATCTGCTGTACATGGATGACCTGAAGCTGTATGAGAAAACTGAAAACAGAAATCCAGTCTCTGACTAACACTGTCCGAATCTTTAGCACTGATATCAACATGAAGTTTGGTTTGGACAAATATTCGACAGTGGCACTGAAGAAGGGAAAAATAATTGAAAGTGAGGGCATAAATATGCCCAATGGCCAAGCAATCAAGTGTCACCAGCCAGAGGCCTATAAATATCTGGGCATACTACAGCTGGATAACATCAAACATGAACATGTGAAAACTATGGTCAGCAAAGAATACATTCAAAGGGTCAGAAAAATTCTCAAAAGCAAGCTCAATGGAGGCAATACCATCAAGGCCATAAACACCTGGGCCATACCTGTCATAAGATATACTGCTGGCATCATAAACTTGACGCAGGCAGAACTGGACAATTTGGACAGAAAAACAAGAAAACTCATGACCATTCATAATTCACTACATCCTCACAGTGATGTTGACTGCCTAGAATTCTTGGTGGCGGAGGACTTTTACAAGTAAAGCAAACAGTCGAAGAAGAAAAACACGCCCCTGGCAGAATGAGTCAAAGAAAGCCAAGAACCTGCTTTAATTGAAGTGAATAATCGGAAATTTCTTAAAGCACAGCAGACAGAGAACCAGTACAAGAAAACTGCACTACAAACCAGAGCTGACAGCTGGCACAACAAAGCATTGCATGGGCAGTTCCTTGACAAAATTGAAGGAAAAGTTGACAGGGAGAAGACCTGGTTATGGCTCATGAATGGAACCCTGAAGAAGGAGACAGAAGAAGCCTGATTCTTGCAGCCCAGGAGCAAGCCATCTGAACCAATGCCATTAAGGCCAGGATTGAAAAATCAACTGATGACCCAAAATGCAGACTGTGCAAGGAAGCTGATGAAACCATGGACCATATCCTCAGCTGTTGCAAGAAAATCGCACAGACTACAAACAGAGGCACAACTCTGTGGCCCAAATGATTCACTGGAACTTATGTCACAAGTACCACCTGCCAGCAGTAAAGAATTGGTGGGATCATAAACTGCAAAGGTGGTGGCAAATAAACATGCAAAAATACTGTGGGACTTTCGAATCCAGACTGAGCAAGTTTTGAAACACAATACACTAGACATCACAATTATGGAAAAGAAAAAAAGTCGGGATTATTGATATCGCCATACCAGGTGACAGTCGCATTGAAGAAAAACAACAGGAAAAACTCAGCCACTATCAAGACCTCAAAATCGAACTGCAAAGGCTCTGGCATAAACCAGCACAGGTGGTCCCAGTGGTAATAATTGGCATACTGGGTGCTGTGCCAAAAGATCTCAGCCGGCATTTGGAAACAATAACATTGACAAAATCATGATCTGTCAACTGCAAAAGGCCACCTTACTTGGATCTGCGCATCGTTCGAAAATACATCACACAGTCCTAGACGCTTGGGAAGTGTTTGACTTGTGATTTTGTGATACAAATAAAGCACACCCAACATTATTATTATTATTATTATTATTATTATTAATCTTTATTTATATCCCACCACCATCTCCCCGATGGGGACTCGGGGTGGCTAACATGAGGCCAAGCCCAAAATTACAACAAAATACAATACAAGTACAGCAAAATAAAATACAAAAGCAAAAATAAAATAAAGTAGCAAAATAAAATAAACCATGCAAATTGACATAATATAAAATCAAATACAATTGGCAGGCAAATGGATGAGGTAGGAATAGAAAAAGTGTAATTGAGAGGCTTTGAAATAGAAGGTGGCTTTGAAAGACAACAGATTGCAGACCTGTCAACAGCTTATGAAACTGTAAATATTGCCTTCTTCTGAGAAAACTATATAATATCACAAAAGATTTACACCTCGCTTGCTTCATAGGAAATTAAATCACACTGAAAGTCAATTAAATGCATAGACTTAATACTAAATATTACAGTATGTGACATGATTTTTGTTCCTGTGTTCTAAATGTCATTACTAAATTGGTTCTTTCATAAAAACATGGAAAAGGTTTATTATAATGCACAAACTTTGTTTTTGCAGGACATTCCGCAGCACCTTTTATAGTTTACTACCCGTCCCCTGCCACACGTTGCTGTGGCCCAGTCCGTGTATATGTGTTTTATGTGTGTGTATACGTGTGTGTACTAGCCATCCCCGACACACGTTGCTGTGGCCCAGTCTGTGTATATATATGTGTGTAAATATATTTGTGTATTTGTGTATATATGTGGTTTTGCGCATGCGTTGTAATATAATTTTTGTTTTTTGGCTTTTTAAGTCCCTTCTTCTGTGTTTTTGAGTGTTTTTGCGCATGATGGTCACTTGTTCGCCTGAAAGGTGTCTTGTGTCCAAATTTGGCGTCAATTCCCCCAGTGGTTTTTGAGTTATGTTAATCCCACAAACGAACATTACCTTTTTATTTATATAGAGTGGTTTTGTGCATGCGTTGTAATTTTTAATTTTTTTTGGCTTTTTAAGTCTCTTTTCTGTGTTTTTCTGAGTGTGGATATGCTATTGTTGTGTTTTTTTGCCATGTGGTTTTTGTGTATGTGTTATAATGTATTTTTTAAATTTTTGGCTTTTAAAGTCTCATCCGCTGTGTTTTTCAGTGTTTTTATGAGTGATGGTCGCTCACTTGCCTGATAGGTGTATTGTGTCCAAATTTGGTGTCAATTTGTCCAGTGGTTTTTGAGTTATGTTAATCCCAAACGAACATTACATTTTTATTTATATAGATTGGGGTGAGCACCACACCCCAGAGTCAGACATGACTGGACTTAATGTCAGGGGACTACCTTTACCTTTTTAACACTTTCAAACCAGGAATGGAAAAGGTTTCACATTTTGTTACATAGTGTTATTGAGGGAAGGAAGCTTGGAGAGAGAGAATAAACTTACTGTGGAGGCAGAACGCTTATTTGGGGGGAATGGCCTACCCATTTTGGCCCCGCTGAGGTAAAAGGGAAGCGGGATATAAAACACCTCATCTCCTCCATCCCAAGCTTATCTGCTTACCTTTCCCTCATCGCTTTTGGCATCTCCAATCCCACCGCCTGTGAGAGGAAAAAGAAGCCACCACAAGATCCACCTTCGCCGCCAAAACTCAAACTGAGGCTCAACGACAAAGCGCCAGACTTTTCAAAAGCGCTTCCCGATGGGTCGACCAATCACAACGCGTGGCGGGTTTAGGAAGCGAGGCGTTCTCTTCGAAGGGAGGCGGAGCGGCCAATCAGAGGAACGGGGAGAGGGAGCGGCAGAGCGCTGATTGGTGGATCCGGGGAGAGCCAAAACACGTGCTGCGCGTGCTTTGTGAAGGCCCTCCCTCTTGATTAGGTTGAATTTCCTCCAATTCCCATAATTCCCTGCCATTGAACAAGCTGACTAGGGCTTCTGGGAGTTGGAGGCCCAAACAGCTAGTTTGAATCAATCTAGTACCAAAGCGAGGCTTCAATTAGGACACTCTTGTTCCCAGGAAGAGACCATCTTGGCTGAAAGAGAGGGGGAGGTGTAAACACTCAATCCCAATTTGGGGACAAAACCGGAGCAGTTTTCAGAGCCAAACCTTGTCCTTTCAGAGACATGTCTTAAGGAAGGCCCCGGGTGGGTAAACTATGCTTTTTGACCCCAGGAAATGGGGAGCATGAGTTGGGATGCCCCTGTGATCCCCCCCCCCCACAGAGAACTAGGCATGGAAGCTTCCAGGGAGCAGAGCCTGGGGTTGAGGACTCTTCTAATTGGGTTTGACTCCCATGGAGCCTCTTTGGAGATGGCTTTCCTTCCTGCTTTTGGGTTTAATGGGGAAAGCCAGCCTGGAGGCTGCGGTTCTTATCAATGTGGACGCTTCCCAGGCGGAAAGGGAGTTGAAGCACTTCTGGGAAAGCACCGGCTTCTGGTAGGAATCAAGGAAGGAGGAGGAAACCAAACAGAAAGGGTCTGTGGGGGCATCTACACTGGAGTTAACGCAGTTCGGCACCGCTTTAAGCGCCATGGCTCAATAATACTGTGGAATCCTGGGCCTTTGACAATCTTCTTCCAGGAAAAAAACACTCAAGGACCATAAAGTATATGATATTCAGTATATAGTTCAGTGTAATTCACATAGAGTGAAGTGAAAAGGAGCTACTGCTCTCAAACATAATAGTTGTAATACAGTCAAATATTACAGTTGCAAGATCCCAATGTATACAGGGATTCAGGGAAGCATAAGCAATATAACTCTTTTCAAATAAGGCAAGAAGACAATGAGTCATAAAGTCCACCGTCCAAAAGAGAGTTCAAATGGCAGTAATATCCAAATGACGATGGAGCATAGCTCTCAAGAGAAGTCTTTGTCGGGAAAAATTCTACAGGGATATATATATAGCTGTCCCCTGCCACGTGTTGCTGTGGCCCAGTCTGTGTATGTGTTTTATGCATATATGTGCATAATATGTGTGTGTATATATTTGTGTACACGTGTGGTTATGCACATGTATTCTAATGTATTTTTGTTTTTTGGCTTGTTAAGTCCTTTACGCTATGTTTTTCAATGTTTTTATGAGTGATGGTCACTTGTTGGTCTGACAGGTGTATTGTGTCCAAATTTGGTGTCAATTCATTCAGTGGTTTTTGAGTTATCTTAATCCCACAAATGAAAATTACATTTTTATTTATATAGATATGCATTTCCTTTGCCTGCCACGCGTTGCTGTGGCCCAAGTTCTATGGTGGGGTTCAGAATGCTCTGTGATTGTAGGTGAACTATAAATCCCAGCAAACAACTCCCAAATGTCAAGATTCTATTTTCCCCAAACTCCACCAGTGTTCACATTTGGGCATATTGAGTATTCGTGTAGAGTTTGGTCCAGATCCATCATTGTTTGAGTCCACAGTGCTCTCTGGATGTAGGTGAACTACAACTCCAAAACTCAAGGTCAATGCCCACCAAACCCTTCCAGTATTTTCTGTTGGTCATGGGAGTTCTGTGTGCCAAGTTTGGATCAATTCCATCATTGGTGGAGTTCAGAATGCTCTTTGATTGTATGTAAACTATAAATCCCAGCAACTACAACTTCCAAATGACAAAATAAATTTTTTAGTGAAGGACATACATTGGGTTGTTAGGTGTCTTGTGTCCAAATTTGGTGTCAATTCATCCAGTGGTTTTTGAGTTCTGTTAATCCCACAAACGAACATTACATTTTTATTTATATAGATACTCCTTGTGCTGCCACGTGTTGCTGTGGCCCAGTCTGGTGATCTGGAAAATAAAGTAATGGTTCTAATCTATGTTATTTTTTTCTGCTTGTGGGTAAACAGTATTTCTTGTTGTTTCTTTGTCAGTGTTGATGTCGAGAGTATCTGGTTTGCCTACTCTGGAATATGCAACATATCACTGTCCTTCTTTAGGAGTCCCTTTCAAATCTATGATATTATTTCTCTGTGTGTGTGTGTGTGTGAATCATATATATCTATCTATATTTATAGCTGGATGGCTCTTTGTCAGGAGGGTTTTGATTAGATTTTCCTGCCCTGGTGAAGAGAGTTGGACTGGATGGCCTTAAGTATTTTCTGTTGGTCATGGGGGTTCTGTGTGGGAAATTTGCCCCAATTCTGTCGTTTGTGGGTTCAGAATGCTCTTTGATTGTAGGCGAACTATAAATCCCAGCAACTACAACTCCCAAATGTCAAGATTCTATTTTCCTCAAACTCCACCAACGTTCACATTTGGGCATATTGAGTATTCGTGTAGAGTTTGGTCCAGATCAATCATTGTTTGAGTCCACAGTGCTCTCTGGATGTAGGTGAACTACAACTCCCAAACTCAAGGTCAATGCCCACCAAACCCTTCCAGTATTTTCTGTTGGTCATGGGAGTCCTGTGTGCCAGTTTGGTTCAATTCCATCATTGGTGGAGTTCAGAATGCTCTTTGATTGTAGGTGAACTATAAATCCCAGCAACTACAACTCCCAAATGACAAAATAAAAAAAAATGAGTGAAGGACATACATTGGGTTGTTAGGTGTATGCTGTCCAAATTTGGTGTCCATTCGCCCACTGGTTTTTGATTTCTGTTAATCCCACAAATGAACATTACATTTTTATTTATATAGAGATCTATATATATAACTTTACATGACTGTATTACAACTATTATGTTTGAAAGTGGCTGCTCCTTTTCCCTTCACTCTATGTGAATTACACTGAATTACACTGAACTATATACTAAATATCATATACTTTATGTTCCTTGAGTATTATTTCCTGACACAGATTATTTTGTGTGTTTTGACACCCTACAAGTATTCTGGGATAGTGTATAGAAGTTTCTTCTTCCAGCCTTCTCCACCAAAGAGAAGTTTGGTGCCTCACCAAACTACAAACTTTTATGATTCCATCGCAATGAAGGTGGTATCAAACCATGTTTATTTTAGAGTGTAGATGCCCTTTTGGAGGTCCTTAATTGGTCTCCCGCAGGCTGGATCTACACTGTGATATAGACCCCTTTACACAGCTGAATAAAATCCCACATTATCCGCTTTGAACTGGAATATATGACAGTGTGGACTCAGATAACCCAGTTCAAAGCAGACATTGTGGAATTTTCTGCCTTTGATTACTTTGGGCCCTTCCACACAGCCCTATATCCCAGAATATCAAGGCAGAAAATTCCACATTATCTGAGTGTGGACTCAGATAACCCAGTTCAAAGCAGATATTGTGGGATTTTCTGCCTTGATATTCTTGGTTATATGGGATTTCCTGCCTTGATATTCTGGGATATAGGACTGTGTGGAAAGGCCCTCAGATAACCAAGTTCAAAGCAGATATTGTGGGATTTTCTGCCTTCATATTCTAGGTTGCATGGCTGTGTGAAAGGGCTCATAGGCATCTGCTTTGAATTGGAGTATATGAATCTACTCTGCCTTATAATCCAGTTCAAAGATCTGGATCCAGAAACTGGATTATATGGTGGGGTAGAGGGGCCTGCATAACTCTGGAACATCACACTCTCTCCGCCTCAGGGCCCTTCCACACAGCTGTAGAACCCAGAATATCAGGGCAGGAAATCCCACAGTATCTGCTTTGAACTGGGTTATCAGAGTCCACACTCAGGTAACGTGGGATTTTCTGCCTTGATATTCTGGGATATGAGGCTGTGTAGAAAGGTCCTGGGTTATCTGAGTCCACACTGCCATATATTCCAGTTCAATGTGGATTTTATACAGCTGTGTGGAAGGGGCCTCAGAGGAAGGCAAGATCAAAACCTCTTCTGAACCCACCTTCCCAAGAAAGCACTCTGATAGGGCTGCCATAGGTCTGAAACATGAAGGCACACAACAACAACAGAAGAGCAGTTAGAGCAGAGCTTTCCAAACTGTGCATTATAACATGTTAGAGAGTTGGCTGCAGTGTGTAGGTTTGTTGCACGAATAATATGCCGTAATAAGAAACCTCTGAGCCAATGTAAAATAAGCAATAAATCATGTATTTTAAAAATATAAATGAAAGCTTTTCAAGAGAGATGTTGTATCCCCATAGATTTTATTATTAAAATTTATGTATGTGTCTCTAACCCATATAAGGGGTTGGTTATACCCAGGCATAGGCAAACTTCAGCCCTCCAGGTGTTTTGGACTTCAACTTCCACAATTCCTAACAGCCAGGCGTCTCAAAGTCACTATCAAAACTAAATTACTGTGTTGCTAAATGAGGAACCACCGGTGGTGCAGTGGGTTAAACCACTGAGCTGCTAAACTTGCTGACCGAAAGGTCGCAGGTTCAAATCCGGGAAGTGGCTCCCGCTGTCAGCCCCAGCTTCTGCCAACCTAGCAGTTTGAAAACAGGTAAATGTGAGTAGACCAATAGGTACCGCTCCGGCTGGAAGGTAACGGCACTCCATGCAGACATGCTGGCCACATGACCTTGGAGGTGTCTACGCTGGCTCTTCGGCTTAATAATAGAGATGAGCATAGAGATTATGTTCCTGTGATAATTGGATTTTGAAAAAGTTGGCTTGTTGTGGAAACAAGGATTAATGATGGAAGCTTCAGCAGAGACACCTTTTCCCCATGATAACTCTTTCAGGAGTGAATTTCCCTTTGAGGGGTAGATGTCTCTCACTTCCTGTGGTCTCAGTCCCATTTTTAACTGAGTCATATGTAAAGCCTGCGATTTTGGGTTTGCCTGTACTGTGTAAATGATTAATATTGTTTTTCCTCATCTTTTCAGTCCTCCTTTGCCACACAGCCAGGCAGATCTATTTGATCTCAGTAAAGACCAGGCAATTAATCTGGCTTACATTTCTTCTGTACCACACAATGGCATCAAACAAATCAGAATTCACTGGCTTCTGGAACTTGTTCAAGTTGGGTAAGTCATATTCTGTATTAATTTGCTTTTTCTTTCTGGTCTTGTCTGAATGACTTGACAGTCCTGTGGCCTAAGCTAGTCACACCTATTCTTGTAAGTTAGTTATGTAGCTATGGAGTACGTCCTGAAACTATATCAATGGATCCCAACTTTTTTCCGACCACGGACCACTTTGACCAAGGACCACACTCCAGCATTAGTTACGAATCTGTTTTTTTGTCAACATTAGATTCGGTTTGGTTATTTGGGGTGCTGATTCAGAAAATCGCATTGGATAGCCACATCAGCTCTAGTTTCTGATACAGAACATATGCCATCCAGTAGTTGCCATCTGCTCGCCCACAGAAAACCATAGTTAATAAGTCTTGGCACTACAAGAGGGTTTTGCGAGACTCGTTGCTCTTGTCGCAATGGTGTAATGGTGAGGCCTCGGACCATATTTTAGTTCTTGTGGACCACTGGTAGATCATGGACCACAGGTTGGGAACCACTGAACTATATAGATGCCTTGCTATCTGTTCTGTTTGGGTATGAAGAAAATGACTACGGTAACTAATCTCTCAAATAGTTCCACTAAAATTGCATGGCTGGCTGTCTGCAACTGGAAGAGAAGTCCAATTTTTTTTAAAACAAAACAATTCTACATTGTATGCCAAGTAAGTTTGTCAATGTAAAGACTAAAATGATCAAGGGTCTGGAGAACAAGCCCTATGAGGAGCGGCTTAAGGAGCTGGGCATGCTTAGCCTGAAGAAGAGAAGACTGAGGGGAGATATGATAGCCATGTATAAATATGTGAGAGGAAGCCACAGGGAGGAGGGAGCAAGCTTGTCTTCTGCTTCCCTGGAGACTAGGACGCAATGGAACAATGGCTTCAAACTACAAGAGAGGAGATTCCATCTGAACATGAGGAAGAACTTCCTGACTGTGAGACCGTTCAGCAGTGGAACTCTGTGTGGTCTAGGCTCCTTCTTTGGAAGCTTTTAAACAGAGGCTGGATGGCCATCTGTCAGGGGTGATTTGAATGCAATATTACTGCTACTCGGCAGGGGGTTGGACTGGATGGCTCATGAGGTCTCTTCCAACTCTTTGATTCTATGATTCTACGACATTATTTATGTTATTAGGTTTCCTGCAATATTTCCTGATCACTTATATTAATCCCCGCTGAAATATCAGTTGTATGAAATGCAGGTTTTGCTTGAAGATAGCAGTAGATAGACTTCTGGAATTCTGCTTTTCTACTAGAATATCAAAAATGTTGGATTGGAACCTGGTAAAAAAAACATACTTAGAATTACAGTATTGTTCCCCCAATTTGCAATTTTGGTGTTTGCAAATTTGATTATTCCTGGATTTATTTAAAAACATCATTTCTAGGAGTCTCAAAGTCCTCCTTACTTTGGTCTGCTTCCTCCAGTCATGCTGGAAGATCTAGAGCAGTGGCAGGAAAGTCTGCAAGGGCTCCAGCAAATATATTTTGCATTTTAACAAAATAAGATGACTTAACTGAATGGAGGTGGCTAGGAGTTGACCCCCTGCATGAAAGGGGTATGTTTTGTTATTTAGCTCTGTTTCTTTCCTGTATGCTTTCACCTAAAACAAACAATCAATACAATGTTTGCTTTGGTTATGTTTAGGAGCCAACTAGAAACAGCAATGGCAATGGTCTCTTTATGTATGCATTTATCCCAGGTGTGTATAAAATCCTTAAGTTCAGGGAGTCTGCTTTTCAAAGCAAAAGAGGTGTACCAATGGTGTGTATGCTGAGGTCTGAATCATCCCCACACTCTCCATCCACTTTTCCACTAGTTCAGTGGTTCTCAACCTGTGGGTCGCCAGGTGTTTTGGCCTACAAGTCCTAGAAATCTCAGCCAGTTTACCAGCTGTTAGGATTTCTGGGAGTTGTAGGCCAAAACATCTGGGGACCGACAGGATGAGAAGTACTGATCTTAGAGAGAACAGCTCTGTAGGGCTCTCCAGGTCTCAAGTGCAACTTTATGGGCAGCTTCCAACTGGAAGACCTAGACATTTCTGGAGAGGTCAAAAACCAAAACGTAGCAATTTCTTTATCTGTTGTTTTTCCTTTCACAATATTCCTGCATCTGCAAGCCCAGCAAATGTGGAGGACCCTCTGTTGTCTGAACTTTGGAATTTCTTCTAAGGGCCAATGTGGAAGCGAACTCCCAGTGATTCTACATGAAGGATGGAAAAAGGCTTCTCTGAGACTGCATGTGCCCCTTACAAGGCTGTTTTTACCACACACACACAACTCACCCAAATCACCTTTTTTGTGATAAAACAGGTGAATTGCCCCTCCGGGAAATGACTGGCACAAACATTGAAACATTATCCTCAAAATTAAAAGTAATCAGGACAAAAAGGTGTATCGTTGTTCCCACTCATCATGTTATTTTTGAAATGTCACTTTGTTATACTGTTGTTATCAAGAGGAACTGAAAAGAAAATCATAAACACCTACCTGGCTTGTAACTCATTAATTCCAAGTTCTGATTAGCCAGTTAGCTGTTGGAATGTGGCCCAGTGGGGTAAATTGCTGAACTGCTGAACTTGTTGACCAAAAGGTCACCGGTTCAAATCCAGGGAGCGGGGTGAGCTCCCTCTGTTAGGCCCAGCTTCTTCCAACCTAGCAGTTTGAAAACATGCAAGTTTGACTAGATCATTAGGTACCGCATCTGCGGGAACGTAATGGCGCTCCATGCAGTCATGCTGGCCTCATGAACTAGGAGGTGTCTATGGACAACACTGGCTCTTCAGCTTAGAGATGGAGATGAGCACACCCTCCACGCCCCCCAGAGTTAGACACAACTAGACTTCATGTCTGGGGAATCCTTTACCTTTACCTAACTCTTGGTATCCACTGCAGTTTGGCCCCAAGACTCCCAGCGGATATCAATCCATGGATCTCAAGTCCCATTATATACAATGACATCATAAAATGGTGTTCCCTCTTCACAAAATGAAAATTTCCTTTTTGGATTTTTATTTTAATATTTCAAAGTCATAGTTGAGGGAATCTATGGATATGGAGGTTGAGTCCAAAAAGTAAGTTTTCCAAATTTTGTCCTAGCTCCAGGCTTAAGGGACCTGGCCTAGAGAACATACATCCCTTAATGTGGATTGAAGGCAGCTTGAAAACCCAATGTTTAAATGACACACAGTGAGAACCCACACAGCAATGTGAATTAAGAGCAAAACTGGGGGAATACTCTGGAATAGATCCCATCATGCGCATCAGTGCATGCAGGGGTAAATCATCTTGCATGATGAAATCAATTAAGAAACATGTGATCTGGTGATCCGTACATGCGCACAGGGGCTAGAGAGTTTAAAAAATGGATGCTCATTTTATTGATTCAAAAGAGAACTGGGACAATATGGCCTGGGTCAGCTGTAACATGAAAGAATGCTATGGCAATAGAACAATGGGTTATGGTGAATTAATCAATTAGATACTATATTTTCATCCAGATTTGTTTGGGTTAACAGTACAACAGTTTCTTAGGTTTGGAACTACAGAGAAACCGATTTGTTTATCACTGAAGAGAGAAGTTCCAGCTAATTTAATACAGGCAGACCCCAAGTTACGAACAAGATGGGTTCTATAGCAGGGGTCCTCAAACTATTAAAGCAGAGGGCCAGGTCACAATCCCTCAAACTGTTGGAGGGCCAGATCATAATTTGAAAAAGAATGAAAGAATTGCTATGCACACTTCACATATCTTATTTGTAGTGTAAAAACATTTAAAAACAATACAATAATTGAAATGAAGAACAATTCTAACAAATATAAACTTATTAGTATTTCAGTGGGACGTGTGGGCCTGCTTTCAGCTGATGATGAAGGGTTGTTGTTGTTGTTGTTGTTGTTGTTGTTGTTGTTGTGTGCTTTCAAGTACTTTTAGAGTTAGGTTGACCCTGAGTGAGGGCCAGGCAAATGACCTTGGAGGGCTGTATCCGGTCCCTGGGCCTTAGTTTGAGGACCCCTGTTCTATAGGATTGTTCGTAAACTGAATTGGTATGTAAGTCTGAACAGGTACATTTTTAAGTGTAATGCCAGTCATATGTATATGACTCCAGTCACGCACACACACCACATATAGATACACACACATACACATAGCACAGGGAAAGGTCCACACCCCCATGATGTTTGCTTTGCTGTTTATGCCCCTGTCCAGAAGATTTTCCCCTACTTTCTGACCCTGTGATAATTGGATTTTGAAAAAAATGGCTTGTTGTGGAAACGAGTATTGGTATACCTTCAGTGGAGACACCTTTTCCCCGTGATAACTCTTCCAGGAGTGAATTTCCCTTCTTGTGGGAAAATTTCACTCATTTCCTAGTGTCTCATCCTGTTCTTCATTTGTAAGTGAGATGTTTGTAACTCTGGGACTGACTGTATTGCGCTCTGGATACCAAAAAAGTTGGAAGGGAAGAGCAAGGAGGACACTAACCATGGGCTAGTCATGGCACATTCTTGTAACATTCAGCAATGGTGTCGCATTATGTCCAAACTGGATCCACATCATACCTAGATTTTAAGATTACATTATCTCATGTTATGTTTATACTACTGAGTATCTATAAAAAAAAATTTAAAAACAGAATAGGACCCCGTATTGTATGTTGGGATTCAAGTAGGATCCCAAGTTTGAACATTTTGAAGGCCACAACATAAATGCAGTGAATGCTGAATCCTCACAACTGCTGGTTATTGACGATACAATATGGGGACCTTGGGCTATACAACTGAATCATCTGCTGTAGTCTTCCTCTCAATTACAAATTGGACAGCACTGTGTATGCTATGAAACACAAGTTCATGCATGTCTTTCTTTGCGCTGGCTGAGTAGCCCCCTCTTTCCAGCGAAGCTATCACACAGGGACTGCAGCAAGCCAGGAGAACTGTGACTTTCAGTTCTTGGTGGTCTTTGAATGTTTCTTTTAATGCGCTCACACCAGCAGTGTCCAAAAATGGAATGGAAGAGCAGTCAATGATGATGGCCTGAATGTCTCTGGGTTTAGCGACAAGAGATAAACCTGTATCTCCATGTTCAAGTCCCTTGTGAAAATTTGGCTGCCCTTTCTTCTTGGTCTTTTTTCTCCTGGCAATTTCAATCGTAGGGTCAAACCCCGTTTTGTTGTGGAGGCACTTGAGGAAAAAATCTTTATTTGCATAATAAAGCGGTGCTTCGAAGCGAAAGATTTTCACCTTTGGAACAGGCAGGAGGTTTGTGTATTCCTCGTCGTCTTCATAGAAGACAGTGTTCCCAATCTGCCCAAGTAAGGCAACATGGGGGCGCTGGGTGCGGCCGATTATGCACAGGATGGAAAACACGACCCCAACCAGAAGGCCCATTTCAGTGCTGATCAAGGCAGAGGAGAGCATGGTAACGCACCACACCAGGGCATCCACTCGATCTAGGCGGTAGCGCTGGGGAAGGTCTTTGAATTTCCTAAGGGCTCCTCTTAGGCTGACAATGATAATGCACGCCAGGACGCACTTCTGCAAGCTGAAAAAGAGGGGTGCAAAAAAAAGCAACACCAGGAGCACCACCACAGCGCTCACCAGGCTGGATACCTGTGTCTGACATCCTGTCGATGCCTTGACCAGGCTCTTGGCCAGGGCTGCACTAGTGGCAAAGCAGTGGAAGAAAGCCGGGATGATGTTGCAAAAGCCGATGGCAAACATCTCCTGGTTGGCCTTGACAGTGTAGGCATATTTCTTGGCAAACATTTCTGAGAGTGAAACGGTGAAGGCAAAGCCAACGATGGCAAGAGGGAGGGCGTCAACGGCAACTCTCTGCATGAGGGTCACGCTGGGCACCTGGGGAGGAATAAATCCAGTGGGGATTTCGCCCGAAACACTGGAGCCATACATTTCCTTCAGCTGTCCGTAATGGGAAACCAGTGTGGCCATCACAATCACAATCAGCTCTGTGGGAAGAGGAACCTTGAGCTTGTGCTTATATCTGTCCCCTAGTTCCTTGGCAGTGACCAGTACTGTGATGCATATCGTGCTTGTGATCACATCACAGACATTAGCCTGGGAAATGTTGCTGAAAATGTTAACCCAGGTGGTGATTAAGACACCGTATCCCTGGGTCCGAGGGATTTTGATGCCAACAAGGTACTTAACCTGAGCTGTTAGAATGGTTACTGAAGCACCCGTTGCAAAGCCATCGAGTACTGGCTCTGAAAGATACATCGACACAAAGCCCAGGTGGAAGATTCCCATCAGAACCTGGAAAATAAACAGGAAGAAGTGGGAAAGGGAAGCATTGGTTAACAACAGAACGTCATTCATATCTTTATGCCTTCTTGAGTTTCTTCTCCCTCCCACCAATGTTTCTGCATAGTGGGCCCTTGATATCCACTAGGATTTGATTCCAGAACCCCTGGTTGATATCAAAATCTATGGATGCTCAATTTCCATTATATATAACTAGCTGTACCCGTCACACATTGCTGCGGCCAACCTTCCCTCTTTCTTTCTCTCCTTCTTTCTTTCTCTCCTTCCCTTTTTTCTTTCCTCCTCTCCTTCCTTCTTTCTCTTCCCTTCCACCCCCCCACCTTTTCTTTCCCTCCCCCTTTCTCCCTGTTCTTCATTCTCTACCTATTATTGGACTGCAACTCTCAGCATTCCTCCTGATCAATCTATCTATCTCTATCTAATCTATCAGGAGGATTGTTGGGAGTTGCAGTCCAGGAATAGAAAATTGGAAATATGCAGGGGTTTGGATGCTCTCAAAGAAATCCATGGAGAAGAAAGCTTGCATCTTGGAAGCAGTGTATTTGGATCATCCTCCTCTCCTAAAGGGCCTGGTCTAGGGGATGCTGGGAGCTGTAGRCCGGAAGAGAGTYTGGATATGCTATTGTGTGTTTTTTGCCGGGGGAGTCATTTTTGCGCATGTGCTGTAACATCTTTTTGCTTTTTTTTTTTTTTAGCTTTTTAAGTACCTTCTGCTCTGTTTTCCAGTGTTTTTATGAGTGACGGTCATTCATTGGCCTGATAGGTATATTGTGTCCAAATATGGTGTCAATTCACCRAGTGTTTTTTGAGTTATGTTAATCTCACAAACTAACATTACATTGGGTTGTTGTAGGTTTTTTCGGWCTATATGGCCATGTTCTAGAGGCATTTTTTCCTGACGTTTCGCCTGCATCTATGGCAAGCATCCTCAGAAGTAGTGAGGTCTGTTGGAACTGGGAAAATGGGTTTATATATCTGTGGAATGACCAGGGTGGGACAAAGGACTCTTGTCTGTTGGAGCTAGGTGTGAATGTTTCAAAACACCACAGGCTCACTAGATCAATAACCGCCTGGAACGCAACCTCTTACGAGAGAGAATTCACACCATCTGCAAAGAACTCGCAAAAACCTACAACAACCCAGTGATTCCGGCCATGAAAGCCTTCGACAATACATTGTAACATTACATTTTTATTTATATAGGTGGCATCATAAAATGGTGCCCTTTGTTTCCAATAGCAAAACCAAACTTTTCTTTTCGGAATATGGGAACAGGTGAAATCTATGGATACAGAATCTATGGATATGGAGGGCTAACTGTACACTAAATAAAGATGCATCTTCTCCCACACTCCTGCCAACCTAGCAGTTTGAAAACATGCAAATGTGAGTAGATCAATAGGTACCGCTCTGGAGGGAAGGTAACGGCGCTCCATGCAGTCATGCAGGCCACATGGCCTTGGAGGCGTCTACGGTCAACGCTGGCTCTTCGGCTTAGAAATGGAGATGAGCACCACACCCCAGAGTCAGACATGACTGGACTTAATGTCAAGGGGAACCATTTACCGTAAATACATAGAAGAATGTGTGATTATATACACCCATCTAATACTTTAGGAAAAAGAAACAAAAAGAAAGGGACAGTTCTTTCTTTTCCCCTCTACTGCCGCCTTGGAAAATGCTTTTTCTCAGAAGTAAAATACAAACCATCATACGTAAGCAAATGCCTAAGTATTGGAAAGTGGTAGAAGAGGACTTTACCTGATAAACCCCAGCCAGGAAAGTCAGTGCCGTCGCCACCCCAATGGCGTAGCATTCTTTCCCACATTCCATGCTCATTGTGCCGAGGGTTAAATTGTGAACTGTGACATTCAAAGACTCTCTGCCACCAGCGGCCTCCTGAGGATCATCGTTGAGGTCAAACCCTGCCAACAGCAGTTCCCTGTCAACAACTTGTCCAACCATCAAGCTTAATAAACTGAAAATGCCGACTGAAACGTGTCTGGAGGTGCCCATGAGAAAGTAGATGATGTTGGCAAAGAAAGAGGTGTAAAGACTATATATTGGCTTCAGGCCTGCTAGCAGGGAGTAGGCGATCGCTTGCGGCACTAAAATGATTCCAATGACCAAGCCTGACATGACGTCTCCCCAAATATACTCTTTACACTTGTATTTGGGAAGCCACTGTAATACAGGGAAAAAGTCCATGACTGTTTTTTTCATTCTTTCTCTGGTACAGAAACAGTTTTTCATCAGCTGGCTTTTTATCACTGCTGTTTTGCTGATCCTGGGTGGAATCTTTCTTTCCATGTAGAACTGGAGATGGGATCCATTTTCCAACTTAGTTGTTTCCATTTCCTTTTCCATTCTGGCTCTGTATTAATCAGTTCCTAAGGGAGAAAGAGATTAACATTTGAATTGGTGTGATCTCAATACAGCATTTGTGCTTCTCATATGAAAGCTCAAGCTAACCATGCCTAGGATCTGCTTTTTTATTCTGCTGACATAACTGCTTTTATTCGTGGAAAGAAAATATTCTGCATCCATCTCTTCTGCACCCACAAAATATGTTCTAGAGCTGGAGGAGAACCATTAGATTAGATCTAAGGGTGTAGAGAGAAGGAGAGAAGAATTGTGGAAAAAGAATTCCTGTTACACGTGGTTGGCTTTATTTATTTCTCCTCCCCACTACAACAAGTATGGAGTAGTGGTTTTAGTATTGAACTATGACTCCATAGACCATTGTTTCAAATCCCCTTTCAGCCATGGAAACCCACAGAGTGACCTAAAGCAAATCACAGCCTCAGATGAAAGCAAAGGTAAACTCCTTCTGAATAAATCCAGGTTGCCATAAGTTAGAAATGACTTAAAGGTACAAAACAGCAACTAGAAGTCCCAGAAACCTTCAGAGGAACAAGAATTGTAGTCTTAAAAAAATATTTCCCAGCTCTCAACGTAATCTGTTATTTTACCTTTCTCTGTTGATATTCTGCGGTATCCAAACAACTCTGGGTAACTGAGTTTTCTAGGCTGTATGGTCACATTCCACAAGCATTCTCTCCTGACATTTCACCCACATCTATGGAAGGCATCCTCAGAGGTTGTGAGGTCTGTGGATGAGGATGACTGCCATAGATGTGGGTGAAATGTCAGGAGAGAATGCTTCTGGAACATGGCCATACAGCCCAGAAAACTCACAGCAACCCAGTGATTCCGGCCATGAAAGCCTTCGACAACTCTGGGTAACTAGAAATTTATTTAAATCTGTTATATAAAAGCAGGATTTGAAAAGTAACGATATAATTTGTGTGTTTGCTCTCATTTTTGTTTACCGCAATACTCTGCGAATGATTTATTGGATTTATTGGATTGATTTAGTCATTTGGGAGTTGTAGTTGCTGAGATTTATAGTTAACCTACAATCAAAGAGCATTGTGAACTCCACCAATGATGGGATTGAACCCAACATGGCACACAGGATTCCATGACCAACAGAAAACACTAGAAGGGTTTGGTGGGCATTGCTCTTGAGTTTGGGAGTTGTAGTTCACCTACATCCAGAGAGCACTGTGGACTCAAAAAATCTGGACCAAACTTGGCACGAATATTACGTATGCCCATTATGACACGGATGGAGAATGGGGGAAATAGACCTTGACATTTAAGAGTTGTAATTACTGGAATTTATAGTTCGCTTACAATCAAAGAGCATTCTGAACCCACTAATGACATGATTGGGGCAAACTTCCCACACAGAACCTCCAGTCCAACTCCCTTCACCAGGGCAAGAAAACGTAATCAAAGCCCTCCTGACATATAGATATATCTGATTCACACACACACCCAGATTTAGTATCATAGATTTGAAAGGGACCCCTAAAGAAGGACAATTATATGTTGCATGTTCCAGAATAGGCAAACCAGACAATCTCCACATCAACACTGACAAAGAAGCAGCCAGAAATACTGTTTTCCCTCAAGCATAAAGACATTACATATATTAGAAACCAACACTTTCTCATTACTTTATTTTCCAAATCATGAGACTGGGCCACAGCAACGCGTGGCAGGGGACGGCTAGTCTTTTATAACCGGTTGGTTTAATCTCTGGTTTGCTAGTACTGTTTCTACTGTTTGTGAACCGCTGTGAGTCGCCTTCGGGCTTGAGATACAGCGGTATATAAGCAAAGTAAATAAATAAATAATAGTAAAATTGAATGACTGTGATGTGAATGATGCAGATCTAAAAAAAGTGTGTCCCCAACATGAAATGGTTGGAAAGCTCTGGCCTAAAACCAATGACCAGTTTAATAGAATAGACTCACTGAAGCAATGTAACTTACAAAATTGTTGTCTTATCAAGGTCCAATTGTTTTAATGCATGTATTCTGGAATTAGCAGTTGTATTTGGTTGTGGGAATATTTGTTAAGTATTTCTTGTATTATGTTTATTTTTTCCCCTTTTATATATCTTTGCTGCAAATGTTTGAAAGAGAAGCATTTTGTAAGTAATTCATATTTTGTGTTGAGATACCTTATTTTAAAAACCCATATTTAATATATAAACTAAAATCATGATATGACATATAAATGAATTTAATTAGAAGTTATAGCCATATTCTAAAAATGATGTAATTTAAATTAGTCTGTGTTTGCCATATTTTTCCTTTTGTTCGTGGCCAGTTTAAAATAGACTATTAAACATTTACTTCAGCAGGGGGCGCCAGATTAAAATTAACTCAATGTTGTTGCAATAGACTTCCTTAGAAATCATGCTCTTTGAATAAATTAACAAAATGAACTTACTGTCTTAGCTGCTAGATGTCTAGATATTGAATGGCCAATAATAATAATAATAATAATAATAATAATAATAATAATAATAGTAATAATAGTAATTATAAATAAATGGGCACAAGCCAGTAAAGGTGGTCCCAGTGGTGATCGGCACACTGGGTGCAGTGCCTAAAGACCTTGGCCTGCACTTAAACACAATCAGCGCTGACAAAATTACCATCTGCCAGCTGCAGAAGGCCACCTTACTGGGATCTGCACGCATCATTCGCCGATACATCACACAGTCCTAGACACTTGGGAAGTGTCCGACATGTGATCCAATACAACAGCCAGCAGAGTGTCTGCTGTGGACTCATCTTGTTGTGTTAATAATAATAATAATAATAATAATAATAATAATAATAATAATAATAATTTATTTATACTCCGCCACCATCTCCCCAAGTGCACTCTGATATGCTCTGTTAGGTAAAGGTAAAGGTTTTCCCCTGACATGAAGTCCAGTCATGTCTGACTCCGGGAGTTGGTGCCCATCTCCATTTCTAAGCCCAAGAGTCAGCGTTGTCCATAGACACCTCCAAGGTCATGTGGCTGGCATGACTGCATGGAGCGCCATTTACCTTCCCCCCAAGGGGAATTTGCATGTTTTCGAACTGCTAGGTTGGAAGAAGCTGGGGCTAACAGGAGCTCACTCCATTCTGCAGATTTGAACTGCCAACCTTCTGGTCAGAAAGTTCAGCAACTCAGCGGCTTAACCCATTGCGCCAGCGCAGCCTGACAATTTAGGTCTGACAAAGAGAGAACTTTTAACCTGTCTGATGACAAGATATTATGTCAGATCTATGTTGTATGTTTTTTATTGCCAGTTCAACTATTTTGATTCAATTATGTCTGAGTATGATATTGGTTTGTTTTTGTGATTGAATGCAAGAGCCTGGTTGGCCAATGCTGAATAAACTTGAAACATGAGATACCTAGATCTCATTTGACTCGAGTTGGAAAGTCTCCTTTGGAATAAAGAAGTCCCAGTAGTTAAGAGCCATTTTTAATTTTGCAAGATTCCCTGAAAATAGCCTCCTTTTGATCCAGGCTTTGTCCTCTGTTTACACAGGATATGGCAAGTGAGGAAGATTAAATAAAGAAGCTGTTTCAATAACTCTGCAATTGTTCCATTATGCTGATATTTATTCATCATGTCAGGAGCAAACCAAACAGTTGTATTGCATTTTTAACAAACAAACAAAGCACAAAGTTTGCAAGCTTGGTAGTTGATTAAATGTCCTTTGACCAGTAGCTGCCCACCTGGAGTGCCTCTGGTGTTACTATAAGAAGGTCCTCCTTTGTGCATTTGGCTGGGCTCAGGTTGCATTGCAGCAGGTGGTCTGTGGTTTGCTCTTCTCCACACTCGCATGTCGTGGATTCCACTTTGTTGCCCCATTTCTTTAGATTGGCTTTGCATCTCGTGGTGCCAGAGTGCAGTCTGTTCAGCGCCTTCCAAGTCGCCCAGTCTTCTGTGTGCCCAGGGGGGAGTCTCTCATTTGGTATCAGCCATTGATTAAAGTTCTGGGTTTGAGCCTGCCACTTTTGGACTCTCGCTTGCTGAGGTGTTCCAACGAGTGTACCTGTAGATCTTAGAAAACTATTTCTTGATTTAAGTCTTTGACGTGCTGGCTGATACCCAAACAAGGGATGAGCTGGAGATGTCACTGTCCTGGTCCTTTCACTATTGGTTGCTACTTTCTGGCAGATGTCAGGCAGTGCAATACCGGCTAAACAGTGTAATTTCTGCAGTGGTGTAGGGTGCAGACACCCCGTGATAATGCGGCATGTCTCATTAAGAGCCACATCTACTGTTTTAGTGTGGTGAGATGTGTTCCACACTGGGCATGCATACTCAGCAGCAGAGTAGCAAAGCGCAAGGGCAGATGTCTTCACTGTGTCTGGTTGTGATCCCCATGTTGTGCCAGTCAGCTTTCGTACGATATTGTTTCTAGCACCCACTTTTTGCTTGATGTTCAGACAGTGCTTCTTGTAGGTCAGAGCACGATCCAGAGTGACTCCCAGGTATTTGGGTGCGCTGCAATGCTCCAGTGGGATTCCTTCCCAGGTGATCCTCAGAGCTCGGGATGCTTGTCTGTTCTTAAGGTGAAAAGCACATGTCTGTGTTTTAGAAGGATTAGGGATCAGCCGGGTTTCCCTGTAATAGGCAGTAAGAGCACCTAGAGCTTTGGAGAGCTTCTGTTCTACCATCTCAAAGCTCCCTGCTTGGGCAGTAATGGCACGATCATCAGCATAGATTAAGCTCTCTGTCCCTTCTGGCAGTGGCTGGTCATTTGTGTAAATGTTGAACATGGATGGAGCAAGTACGCTCCCCTGAGGCAGGCCGTTCTTGTGTTTCCGCAATCTGCTTCTCTGGCCCTGGAACTCAACAAAAAAGCTCCTGTTTTGTAGCAGGTTTCCTATGAGGTGGGTGAGGTGGTAGTCCTTTGTGATATTATACATTTTTCTCAGGAGGAGGCGATGGTTTACAGTATCATAAGCCGCTGAGAGGTCTGTGAAGACAGTTCCAGTGATCTGCTGCCTTTCAAAGCCATCTTCTATGTGCTGAGTCAGGTTCAGCACTTGCGATGTGCAGCTTTTGCCTTTCCTGAAGCCAGCTTGCTGTGGAATCAGACATGAGTCTATTTTTTCCATAATTCTATGCACAATAAGTCTCTCCAGAACTTTGTAATTATGTAATTATGCTGATAAAGTATTTCAAAACAAATCCAAAGTATCGTCCTAGCTTAGAATAGTTTCATTCTTCTTCTGTCACCACAGCATTCTAAAAATGAAGGATATCTCTATTTTTAAGGCCTCAAGGACTGTTTGGGAGGAGGGTAGCATCCTAAGAACCAGTTATTATTTTATTATTATTTTATTTGCTTTATTTTTATACCGCATTTTTCAGCCTAATTCGGCGACTCAATGCGGTTTACAATGCAATTTATTACAATAACAATTAGTTAAAACACAACATACATGACAGACAATACAAGACAAAACAACGTGGTCATCAACGCCTCAGTAAAAATCAGATTCCGTTCCCGTAATCCTTCTACCATTCCTTTGTTCATTTATACCGTCTTCATGAGTTCAGTTGCCTTGTTGACCGAACGCCTGTTCATAGAGCCACGTCTTGACCTTCCTCCAGAACTCCAGCAACGAAGGGGCCTGCCTGATGTCAACTGGTAGGGCATTCCATAGCCGAGGGGCCACCACCGAGAAGGCCCTGTCCCTCGTCCCCGCCAGCCGCGCCTGCGACGCAGGCGGGACCGAGAGCAGGGCCTCCCCGGACGATCTTAACGTCCTCGTCGGTTCATAGGTGGAGATGCGTTCGGAGAGGTAAGCAGGGCCGGAACCGTTTAGGGCTTTATAGGCTAAAGCCAGCACCTTGAATTGTGCCCGGTAGCGGATTGGCAGCCAGTTATCCCTCCTCCCTGAATTGTTATGTGCATTCGGATTGACTCCACAATTCAGAGTGAATTATTCAGAGGAGGTTTGGCATTATCTTCCTTTTAAGGATGACAGAATGTGACATATCTAAGGCCATCTAGTGGCTTTCCGATGCCCCATCTACACTGGCCATTTAGTTGGGTTTGGGATTGGATCAACCCATGGTGGCCACAAAATCCGCACAGGCTTATCTAGATTATCCTGGGGGAAGCCACTTCATGCGCTGCATCCTGGATTAAAACAAATCGGAAAGCCCAAATCCTGCCCCGGTAGCTGGCAAATGAGGGTGACAGTTGGGTCTCTACTCAGTGGCACTGAACCGGTTTAAGTGCAGCTGGACAGTAGGGGTGCCTTCCCACTGCTCCATAACCGTTGTTTTTGATGCAAGTTCCAGCCCTCAGTATGTGTCTGTGTCGAACCATCCTGGATGAAAATGTGAATCCTGGCAGGCATGTAGCCGGGGGGGGGGGGGGGGGGGGGGGGGGGGTGGGGGGGGCTTAGTTCAGCCCCCCCCCGAAATTCTCATGGGGGTTCGCGAAAAGGCCTTACTGGTGCATTATTTAAACTGTTATGTTTATTCATATCATGATCTGATCACCATACTCAATATATCCCATATGCATGGGGGTATTGGGGTAATGATACAAAAGGTTTGCTAGCTAGACCCTCTTTCACTCAGACTCACCCCCCCCCCCGAACCTCAGCCCCCCCCACCCCCCCTGAAATTTTTTTAGCCCCCCCCCCCCCGAAACGAAATCCTGGCTATGGGCCTGAATCCTGGCATGCATCTTCACTGCAGAAATAATGCAGCTTGACACCACTTTAGTTACAATAGCTCAATGTTCTGGAATCCTGGGAATTGTAATTTTGCAAGCATTTAGCCTTCCATGCTAAAGAGTGTTGTTATCTCACCAAACTACAGCGGCCATGATGCCAGAACATTGAGCCATGGTAATTAAAAGTGGTGTCAGACTGCATTGTCCTAATGCAGCATTCAGACCACTATGACGCACAGGCTATCAATGTTTTCTGGAGAAGTATTATTTAAATAAGATGGCTTTCAGTTTAATTGCCAGCTAGCAAAACCTCAAGCATTGGTAAAGTAAGCCTGTAAATATTCTTTTGGGGATAAGCCTCATTGAACCAAGTAGGGCGCTGTTCTGAAAACCAAGTGTACAGCTAAATCAGAAAAATAGTGGGGAATCATTTAATTATAGTAAATCTAAGTCTGGAATTTTAACTATGAGCAGAACTCTTATCAGGCATCTTGACTTCATAGGAAGCTTAATAGGAACATTATTCCAGTAAATCAGAGACTCAGATTTGTACCTATGAGAAAAGCTAAGTAACATTGCATACTACTAGCATAATTATAAGCTTCTGCTTTGAAAAACCTTTGTATTGCTTTGCCATAAAATATATTTATAGTTTCCTGCATGTAGTATAGCACTGTATGACATGTCTCCTACTGTACTTAAAAGAATAGGGAAATGAAAATGCTGAACACCATAGAGCTCAAAAACCAATGAAATGCCCCTGTCCTCAGTTGCCTGGACCTTAACTTTAATAGCCATTGGTAACAAAAAGTATGTATTACTTAAGGACATGTGTCTGTGTTCTGAATGAATGAATGAATGAATGAATGAATGAATGAAGGAACCAAAGAAAGCCTCTTGGCAGGATATATCTTTTAAGTGACTTGAATACTAAGAGTGTTGTTTCAATTACATAATAATATGGGGGGAGGACTCTGTGTGTGTGCCTTCAAGTTGTGTGCTGACTTATGGTGATTCCATAAATTTCATAGAGTTTTCTTAGATCCCATCTACATTGCCATATAATGCAGTTTGAAACCTACATAATGCTACCCTTTCCCAGCTCCATCTCTGTTTATTGCATTGTTGATGCAAACAGAAAGGCTATTTCACCCTAAGGAGCCCCCAGTTGTGCAATGGGTTAAACCCTTGTGCCAGCAGAACTGCTGACCAAAAGGTCAGAGGCTCAAATCCAGGGAACGGGGTGAGCTTCCATCTGTCAGCTCCAGCTTCTTATGCAGGAACATGAAAGAAGCCTTCCACAGGATGGTAAAACATCTGGGCCTCCCCTGGGCAATGTCCTTGCAGATGGCCAATTCTCTCACACCAGAAGCGACTTACAGTTTCTCAAGTCGCTCCTGACATGAAAAAAAACCTTCACCCTGACATCAAAAGCCTTTCTTTAGTCCGCTCTTAGCATCCTCGTAGTGCCAATGATGCTAAATCAGCTGCATTCCCCCTAACCCTGCACAACAGAGCTTAGATGAAGGCTAGATCCAATTATAATGTCCCTTTCAACATCAGTTTTAATGAAAATGATGCCTACGACCTTATCTAGCAGATGAGGTTACAAGAAAAAGTGAACGGCCTTTGGATATTTTTAGGGGTTGTAAAACTCTGCCCCTCTCTTTACAAATATGGCAATTAACTAAGAAAAACACTGTTAAAATTTAGTGAGCATATTTTCTATGGAGTTGCAAGGGCAAAAAATATAGCAACTGCCTTAGTGATATATATGGATCTGCATTGGTGATGGGATTCTGGCCCAACCACGATTGTCTCTAAAATATGATAGCATGGCATCTTCTATATGGCTCTGGAACCTACCAAAGCACCATTTCACACTTCACTGTCTCCTACTATATACCAGACTCTCTTCATTTCCCTTCCCAAAGGCAGGAAAACTGGGTAAGAGGCAGGAAAATGTTTGGGTCTACCAATTTTGGATGACATTATTCATTTGACAGTAGTAGCAGCGGGACCAAGACAAGGTAAAAGGAGCCACAGAAACAGATGGGTGGTTGTGAGTGGGTATGTATGTTGTACACCTCAAGCTACAATTTTTAAAACGCCGTCAATCCTCTGCATTTGCAGATTTGATTATTCATTATTAAGTTGTTATCATTAGGAATCTCTAGGTCTGCTAGCACAACTCTAGTCAATTTCTGGCCATAGGGGGCCAGAAAGGATTCCTAAAGAGATGTTCTCTCATGTTATTTTTTAATTATTTGTATTTTTGTTTTCAATTTTTGAGTTATTATGTGCCCTTGACCCCAGTAAATGTGGAAGGCCCAGTGGATACTTGTGTGTTCTGCATTGAAAATCACATCACATAATTGAAGATGTAATTGTAAATATATGTTGTTTGATTGAGATGCTCATTTTCAGATCCTACTTTGAGTTTTTCCCAAGGAAATGGGTCAGGTCATCCAATCCTGGTTATACTATGTATAAAAAATTTGATTAAGAGACAAAAGGAAGCAACTTTGATCTGTTATTCAGTCATTCTTTATTGCTAGAACTTGGATGTGTTTCTGCTTTCCCAAATTAGTTGATGACTGTTTTGTGGAGCACTTTACATGGCAACTTAGCTGTACAACAAGCTGGGGAATCCAGAGCTTCTGGAGGTGGAGCCAAAAACCTCCATTCCCCTGTGCTTTGATCTAACATGTATGTTTGTCGATTGATGGAAAGTTCCCTGGGACGCTGGTCAGCTCGACAAATGAGACCCCCACACACAAAGACTTCATTATTCCCAACTGGGCACACTGCCTGTGAGAGATCCAACCGATAATTGTTTGGTAAGAAAGGAACAAGTTTTGTGGATCTATTAATTTTAATATTCTGGAGGCTGATTTCCATACTCTCTTTGTGGCTTTGAACACTCAAGATGTTCTCCTGTGGAAAGGACAACAAGGGTTTGTAGTTGAACTGAATGGGGAATGTCATGCATTGCACCATGTTCCGGGTTTCTGTATCAAAACAATCCAGCATACCTACGCGAGTGACACGTCCATTCTCCAGGCACCTCCCTGTCACAATATAAATCATCTTGTCCTCCTTGGTGATCACTGCTGTCGCATCCATAGGTATGCTCATTTTCCCAGCGAGAAGCCACTTCTCTTTGATTTCATCATACTTATAGATACTTGAGATATATTTTGTTGGAGCTGTGCTTCCTCCGATGGAGTAGACAGCTCCCCCACAAGTCACCATGGTGTGGAAGACTAAACCTATGGGCAGGTCTGGAAGCTTAAGCCAAGAGTTAGTATCCATGTCATACTTCCATGCTGTTTTCAGGCCAATTATTTGCTCATTTGTTCCCCCAGAGACATAAATATATTTACCCAGTGAAGTGGCACTAAGAGCTGCAGCTTTGTAAGGCATTTCTGTCAGCTTCAACCAGATATTTTCTCCAAGGATGTAGGCAAAAACACCACTGCTATAACTCCCCTGCTGATTTTGCCCTCCAAGAATCACTACGGAGTCCGTGAGTGCCCCCTTCCTCTGGTTCAGCATCAGACTGTGGGGATTGCCCTGTTTACGCTCACTCAAGATTTTTTCTATCTGGGCCAGTGGGCCACTATGGTCGGTAAAGAGCAACACTTCACGGCAGGCAGCAAGCAGTGTCTTGGTGGAGACGGCAGATAAATGTACGTAACGCAAATACTTTTTAAACAACTTCTCTCTTTCTGCCTTTCTATATTTCACCCACTGAAGGAGAACCAGAAAGACCTGGTCCTCATTTTGCACATGAAGATTTTCATCCTTGAGGAGCTTGCCAAAGATGGAAGATGGGCAATTCATCAATTCTCCTCTGCCCTGTGGTCCTGCCCAGTAATCAAAATTGTCTCGGATGCCATCATAGGCTGAATTTTTTATCTCTTTTAGGTCATACTTTGTGGCCAACAGAAGGTACCTGAGACAGTTGTTCTTCTTGAGTGTTTTCTGGAGGAAGTCAGAGCAGTGGCTTTTCAGGGTTTGAGAGTTGAAGTACTTGGCTCCCTTCAGAAGGTCTTCCACATTCTTCTCTGTAATCACAATCTTCCCGGTATAAAAGTAGTTCAGCAACTCCTCCACCAAGGCAGAGTTCAAGAACTTGGAGTCAATTATCATGACAAGTTCGTCGTCTGCTTTTATATCGTTGCTGGAGACCAGATTCCTTACTTGGGAAGACACCGCTGCTAAGACACAGATGTGAGAATGAAAGACGTTCTGGTCCACACTGAGAGCAACGTCACAAAGCTCCCTGTTCTTTCTTTGCTTGTTGAGGGCCTGCATCATAAAACTGTTGTGATTCTTTTCTGTGAATTCCATTTGCATTTTTGGAACCAAGCTGACCTTGAAGGAATGGAGGTGGCATAAACACAGAGGGCTCCTTCCCCAGTTGTTGAAAAGTCCACTCTGGGCAAAGAGTAGTGAAGTCACCAGTTATACTTGCCAAGTCACAATTATCTATGATATGCCTTGGAAACAGCCTTTTCAGCTTGGCTGTTTTGTACCTGACAGAGTTCCTGTAGCCAAACTTGGTAGAAAGAGGTACTTCATTTCAGATAGAGTATCCCTAGGTGAAATGCTTGGGACCAGGAATGACTTGGATTTGGGATAGTTTTGGATTTTTGAAAATAGAGGGAGAAAATGTGGAGGCCGTGACAGACTTTGTATTTCTAGGTGCAAAGATTACTGCAGATGCAGACTGCAGCCAGGAAATCAGAAGACGCTTACTTCTTGGGAGGAGAGCAATGACCAATCTCGATAAAATAGTGAAGAGTAGAGACATCACACTGGCAACAAAGATCTGCATAGTTAAAGCAATTGTATTCCCTGTAGTCACCTGCGGATGTGAGAGCTGGACCGTAGGGAAGGCTGAGCGAAGGAAGAGAGATGCTTTTGAACTCTGGTGCTGGAGGACAGTTCTGAGAGTGCCTTGGACCACAAGAAGATCCAACCTCAGGAAATAAAGCCCGACTGCTCATTGGAGGGAAGGATATTAGGGGCAAACCTGAAGTACTTTGGCCACATCGTGAGAAAAAAAGAAAGCTTAGAGAAGACACTGATGCTGGGGAAAATAGAAGGAAAAAGGAAGAGGAGCCGACCAAGGACAAGATGGATGAATGGCATCCTTGAAGTGACTGGATTGACCTTGAAAGAGCTGGGGGTGGTGACAGCCGACAGGGTGCTCTGGCGTGGGCTGGTCCATGAGATCATGAAGAGTCAGAAACTACTGAACGAATGAACAACAAAACATACGCACATATGCATATCATGAGATATCTTGGCAGTGTAGATGTGCTCCCAGACAAGAAATACTCAGAAGTGTTTTTTGTGAATTCTTCCCTAGGAAACAGCTTATAGCATCTGGTTCTCTCCCATCCAAGTACTAACCAGGGCAGACTCTGCTTAGCTTCAAAGAACTGATAGGATCTGGTGCCTTTTAGGATAGTTAGGCTCCTGTAAACAGTCAAACAAAGCATTTGCTTTTGCCTCAAACAATGAACCTAAAATATGTGTTGCTATATTGTTCTGCATTTGGTTGCTGAAGCAAGAACAAATGCTTTGTTTTCTCTTTGCAAAGCAATTTTCACTTACCACATCATTTTCTTAGCCTCAGTTATGTGGGGATATTATGCATTCAAAATAAGTTTATCCTTGTTTTTCAATTGCTAAAAGTGGGTTATAATTAATAAGTGGCTTAGAATCCGAGATTAACAAGAGAGAGAAAATTTAAAGACATCAAAATAGTTGTTATGCAGTCATTCCAAATACCATGTCAAAGGGCAGAGAATTAAAGCAAATACAATTAGGTCATTTTCTGGAGTACGAAAGCACCAGTGCTGATTCAGAGGGCTAGTCATCCCTGGCCACTGTCATTTTCCTGTCTAGGTATTCAAAAAGGCCAGCAGTGGTGCTATGGCAGAGACAGTAGACAGCATCAGTGCTTTTTTCAGGTTCTCTTGGATGGACTAAGCCCTTTCCTTCCACTAGTCTATTCGGAGAAAGGGATTGTTCTGGTAAGAGTTTTCTGCTAAGCATTAAGATTCATTATTCACATTGACTTATGAATAAATTGTTCCAGTTTTGGGTTGTTGTTTTTACTAAAACGTATAGATATATACACAAGTGTTGTTGTTGTTCATTCATTCAGTCGTTTCCGACTATTCATGACTTCATGGACCAGCCCACGCCAGAGCTCCCTGACGGCCGTCACCACCCCCAGCTCCTTCAAGGTCAATCCAGTCACTTCAAGGATGCCATCCATCCATCTTGCCCTTGGTCGGCCCCTCTTCCTTTTTCCTTCCATTTCCCCAGCATCTCTCTAAGCTTTCCTTTCTTCTCATGATGTGGCCAAAGTACTTCATCTTGGCCTCTACTATTCTTCCCTCCAATGAGCGGTCTTCATTTCCTGAAGTATGGACTGGTTGGATTTTCTCGCAGTCCAAGGCACTCTCAGAACTTTCCTCCAGCACCACAGTTCAAAAGCATCTATCTTCCTTCGCTCAGCCTTCCCTATGGTCCAGCTCTCACATCCGTGGGCGACTACGGGATATACGGGGTATACATGAGTGGCAGGCCCGTAGCCAGGATTTTGTTTCGGGGGGGGGGGCTGAGTTCGGTTCGGGGGGGCTGAGTCTGAGTGAAAGAGGGTCTTCTTTTGTATTGTTACCCCAATACCCCCGTGCATATGGGATATATTGAGTATAGTGATCAGATCATGATATGAATAAACATAGCAGTTTAAATAATGCACCAGTAAGGCCTTCTCGCGGACCACCATCAGAATTTCGGGAGGGGGGCTGAAGCCCCCCAAGCCCCCCCCCCCACCGGCTACATGCCTGATGAGTGGTATATATGGTATTCCATAGTTCTGACACCAGCGTTAAAATGCTCCATGATTGATTGCAAATGAGTTCTACCTCCCAACTGAATGAACAATTTCTATATTCTTAATCAAAATATTAATTGAAACATAAGACTGACTTGCCTTCCAGGGGTGGGAATCATAAGATGCTTCAGATGATGTTGAACTGCAACTTCCAGCATTCCTTACTGCTGGCTATGTTGGCAAGGGCTTCTGGATTTGCAGTTCAACAATAATTGGAAGCTGCAGGATGCAATTTGACACCACTTTTAATTATCATCGCTGATGGAATCATTGGAGTTTGGAGAGGTTCTGGCACTTTTCCAGACCTTGTAAAACTATTACTCCCTTGATTCCATAGCACGGAGCTACGGCTGTTAAAGTGGGTTCGAACTTCATTCATTTTACAATATAGATGCACCCTAATTTGGATCATTGAGGAAAAACACTGCATTTTTCTTTGAATTATCACTAATATTAAGGTTGTCATTTTAAAAAAAACTTGTCCAGGTACAAAGAGAGCATCAGGAATATATTGTGGCATCAACAATATGTACAAGAAACATTTTTACAAGCCACATGGAAATAATTTTATTCAGAAATATATAATAGTTCGCAATCAATAGTTCCCAGATTGGTCTCCTATTCCCTTGACATTTTTGCCTCCACATCCATTCATTCCATTATTTTGGGTCGTTGTTCATAGCAATTTCATGATTTTTTGCCAATATTCTTCCAAATGACTTTTATTTAGGGGGGGGAGGGGCATGGTTTATTGAGGTGAAAGGCAATTTTTCTCCTCTGAAACCTTAGTTACAGTACAAAAGTGCCAGTCCACTGATGCACTATAGTACTATAAGCAAAACCAGTGGAAGGAAGAGAAAATGAGATTTTGTTTTGTTGTATCTCATGATTGGAAAGAAACTGACTTAAGGGTTGGAATAATCATTTTGGCTGGATTAATTCTTAGCCAGATATTGCCAGGAACACAGAAACATCCTTTGAACTATATCAGTGGATAGTGTGATCTCCCAACACATTTGCCTTGTCTGGAGGAGTCCGATGAAAGATTAAATCAATATTCCCTTGAAAGAAAGACACACTCTTTGTGATCTCCAAAACAAACTAAAATACATATTCTGCAAAAACAAAAATCAACAATATAGACAGCCACAAATGCTTAAAACGTGATGGGTGTCATCAAGTAGAAACCTATTTTTCATGCTCAATTTGGATTCGTACTGTTCCCTCTTTTTAGACACCTGAAAATAAGAAGGGAAAACTGACTTTTCTTACCTGACGTATAGCGCAGAGCATATGTGTAGCAAGTGTCAAAGGAGGATGCCATCCGTCTTTTGTAGTCTTTGCAGCCAAGTTCATCCAGGCAGGGCAGTGCTAAGAACTGAAGTGGATGTGCTTTTTAATACTAGTGGGCAGTACCATCATCAAGCAATAGACGGTGCTAGGTAAACACGGAAGGACATAAACAAGAAACCACAAAGTGTGATCCAAAACCTCTCCTGTGTTTCTGCTGCTCCCAACCATAAACCATTTGACCTCAATATCTTACTTGCTCAGTTTCCAGGGACAAACATTAAACAAGTGGTAATTCTTTAAAGGAAACCTTGTATAATAATTGATTTCAGGAACTTGCTTCTGGCAACAGCAGTGCCTTAAAAAGAGGACTCAGGACCTAGGTGTTTCAGTACGGAAATTGGATGTAAAAAATCCAGCTATCCTTTTTAATTTTGCGGTTATGAAGCTCACAATTGATTTATTGAATAGCTGGATCAATCCGTTCTAGTATATTAAGCTGCAGAACTATGTAAGAGTATTGGTCCTTGCCATACAAACCCAGTATAAACTGTATGACTCACAGTATTATAAGAACTCAATTCAAAAATCCCCATTAAGGCAGTGCTTTCATCAACACAAAAATCACAAAAAAAGTGTGAATTCTCCAGATCCTTCATTCAGGTTAGGTTGGCCAACCTTTTTTTTCTGTTAAGAGATATAATTTCCTTGGTTAAACTGACTACATATTACCTAAGAACATTTCTCAATCTGAAGGTCAGGACCCCTGGGGGGGGGGGGCACAAGAAGATGTCAGAGGGGTCAGCAAAGATCATCACAAAACACAGTATTTTCTGTTGGTCAAAAGGGTTCTGCGTGGGAAGTTTGGCCCAATTCTGTCGTTGCTGGGGTTCAGAATTGTAGGTGAACTATAAATCCCAGCAACTACAACTCCCAAATGTCAAGGTCTATTTTCCCCAAACTCCACCAGTGTTCACATCTGGGCATATTGAGTATTCGTGCCAAGTTTGGTCCAGATCCATCATTGTTTGAGTCACAGTGCTCTCTGGATGTAGGTGAACTACAACTCCAAAACTCAAGGTCAGCCCACCAAAACTTTCCAGTATTTTCTCTTGGTCATGGGAGTTCTGTGTGCCAAGTTTGGTTCAATTCATTGGTGGGTTGAGAATGCTTTTTGATAGTAAGTGAACTATAAATCCCAGCAACTACAACTCCCAAATGTCAAGGTCTATTTTCCCCAAACTCCACCAATGTTCACATTTGGGCATATTGAGTATTTATTCCAAGTTTGGTCCGGATCCATTACTGTTTGAGTCCACAGTGTTATCTGGATGTAGGCTAACTACAACTCCAAAACTCATGGTCAATGCCCACCAAACCCTTCCAGTATTTTCTGTTGGTTGTGGGAGTCCTATGTGCCAAGTTTGGTTCAATTCCATCATTGGTGGAGTTCCAAATGCTCTTTGATGGTAGGTGAACTATAAAATTCCAGCAACTACAATTCCCAAATGATAAAATCAATCCCCTGCCAACCCCACCAGTATTCAAATTTGGGCGTATCGGGTATTTGTGCCAAATTTTGTCCAGTGAATGAAAATACATCCTGCATATCAGATATTTACACTGCAATTCATAACAGTAGCAAAATTACAGTTATGAAATAGCAACGAAAATAATGTTATGGTTGGGGGTCACCACAACATGAGGAAATGGATTAAGGGGTCGCAGCATTAGGAAGACTGAAAACCACTGCCTAAGAGGCAGATCCATCTCCCTCCGTGATCCCACTTCTCCTTGCTGTTTTCCCCTCTCGAGACAACATTTTCTCTTCATTCAAAAAATAGGACAGAGCGTTCCTGCCAAAGTTTGAACTGATCCAGGCAAGATATTTGGAGGTAGTAGTGTTGGCCCTTAAGCAAAATCTTCAATTGAGCCACTGAAATGCACAAAATCAAGCAAAAGGTTCTTTAAAAACCATACAAGAGAAGAAGTGTATCGATTTTAGCATCACAGGTTTATGACAGGTGTTGTTTCTGTTGATGTTTACTTACTCTGGAGGGATTTCTATGCCAAGGCTTCTTATATTTTTTCCCCATTCGTGACCCCTTTCTACTAAAGAAATTTTTACGTGACCCCAATTATAAAGGTATATAGAATAGCTATAAAAAACAAACATTTACTGATAACAAATCAGTAAAAGGGTTGCAGTAGCACAGTGGATTAAATCACTAGCTGCAGAAAAGCTGCTGACTGGAAAGTTGGCTGTTCAAAGCCGCGAGTTAGGGCAAGCTCTCGACTGTCAGCCCTAGCTCCTGCCAACCTAGCAATTCGAAAGTATGCAATGTGAGTAGATCAATGTGTACTAACTTGGCGGGAAGGAAAAAGGGTGCCCCATGCAGATATGAAGACATGCTGGCAACGGTCGGAGATGTCCATGGACAACAGGCTCCTCAGCATGGATAATGGAACAAGAGCACCTCCCTATGGCCGGTGTTGAACATCGCCTCCAGACACCATAGATGGAAAAAGGGGAAGGCCTTTACCTTTGTCTGTGTTGTATGTCGATGGTCACTGTGTGTGTAAAAAGGCATTGAATGTTTGCCTAATTTGTGTATTGTAATCTGCTCTGAGTCCCTCCGTGAAGATAAAGTGGAATATAAAGAGGATGTATTATTATTATTATTATTATTATTATTATTTGCTAGGCTTGCTAAGCATGCTGATTTCCCTTTTTCTGGAGTACAGCTGAAGCATTTTCTGCAGAGTTCCCTGTAAACGCTGCACATTGATGCTAACAGGGTCGTGTAAATGCTTAAAGGAGCCAGTAGTGGCAAAACATTTACTGTTGCAAATTTTTCAGGACTCCAACATAAAGGAAACTCATTAGGGGTCAGTCCCATAGTTTAAGAAGCAGTGGTGTATGCCATGTGGGGACCAGGGACAATAAATGACAAACAATCACATTTCAGTTCTATTAGCAACAGAAAAATAATTTTTTTTTGAGAATCATGATGTTGCTGTCCTGTGCCACGGTTTCTTAGCCAATTTCTCAAGCTCCTGTTACATCTGGTAAAGATTTTAGGCATGTATAAGTCAAGCATGCCAATTGTAGTCCAAATGAAAAGTTTTAACATTTTTATCCACCTATGGAATTTCATTTATTTTATTTCATATCAAAAGCATTGCATAAATTAGTATAAAACTGATAAAAATAGAAGGAGCACAGGTGGCTAAATATCTTTTGACCAAAAACGGGCAACAGCATTGTCTGTAGCCTCCAATAATTCTTCCTCTGTACATGAGGCAGGGCATAGTGGACAAGCATACAGATGCAGAGTTGTCTGTTCTGCTCCACAGTCACACAAGGTGTGGGATTCTTTTAGGTAGTGCCATTTTGCCAGGTTGTCTTTTGATCTGCCCACTCTACTTCTGATTTTGTTCAGGGACTTCCAAGTTGCTCATTCTTGGTTTGCCCCTGGAGGAAGACCCTTGTGGGGGGCCATTCAGTTGGGATTTCCTGGTTTAGCTGCCCAGAGGGATACCCTTACTATTGCTGGAGGAACGCCAAGAGGAGTGGTAGTTCTCATAAAGCTTTACCTTGATTTGAGTCTACTGGGAGGAGGCTGGTAGCCATGTAGTGGGTGGCTTTCACAGTGTTCAACCTTACTTCTCTCACATTTCGCAGCAACTTCCCATCACACATGAGATCCTTTTAATTTTCTCTCCAGGTCATCTAAAAATCTCATCCATTTTTAAGTGATCTTCTATTTAAAAAATAATAAAGGCACCAAAGAGATGGAGATTTGTTTGAAATGTTCACTATGTGCTGATGAAGAAACCTACATTTGGATTAAACCAGGGGTCCTCAAACCTTTGCCAGTTTATGGTCCTTCAGACTGTTGGGGGAGGACTATAATTTGAAAAAAGCATGAATTCCTATGCACACTGCATATAACTTATTTATTGAGCAAAAATCATGAAAGAACAACACAGTACTTAAAATGAAGAACAATTTTCACCAACATAAACTTACCAGTATTTTAATGGGAATTGTGGGCCTGCTTTTGGCTGATGAGATAGTGAGGTTGATTTGGATTGTTCTTGTTGTGTGCCTTCAAGTCGATTCAGACTTAGGGTGACCCTAAGTCTAAAGTTCAAGGCAGGGGCCAAGGAAATGACCTTGGAAGTCTGTATCTGGCCCGCGGGCCTTAGTTTGAAGACCTCTGGTTTAATAATTAAAATCTGGACTAAAAAAACAGGTGGCTTGTTTACCAGTGCAGCTGGTGGAAGGAGCCACTGAAAGAACCTCTAGCTGTGTGCCTTGCTCCTTGATCCCTCCTCTCTCAATGAGTTGCTACGTGTGTTGAACTGCGGCCATGAAGGAAAAATGCAGCCATTGTGTTTCAGTGGACGAGCAATTTAGTTCAGAGTTAATGGTCAACAATATAATGGTGCTTGAGAATTGCTGATGTGAGTTATGTGGAGAAATTCTGGAATGTGTTGGAAAGGCTCCCATGTATTCCAATTGGATTTGGGGAAAGATGCCTATGATAATGCAATTGCTATAAATGCTCAGTTTATTATTTTTTCTTTCACATATTTTTCTTACCGCTGGATGTATTTGCAGATTGTCAATATTGTAATGATTAGTTTGACTGCTCTGCGTAACAAGACAAACAGCAAAACCTTAGGGTAGCTGATTAACTTTGACTTTCCTCCCACCTATGACATATTGTCTACTAAAGACTGTTTGGAAACAACTAATGTCTAGACATGATTTGACCATCTTGCTTATCTAGACTTTCACACACTGTTTTTTGTTTTTCGCCAAACATGCCATTAGGAAAATGTTGCTTTTACTAAACACAGAAATAAGAATGTTAGCAGAAAACGGTACTGTTCCATTATCTGAGCAGAGACTATAAAGGGTGCTAGACAGAGAAGGATAGTCCACTTTATGGGGGGTGGGGGGAAGGTGGTTGAAGGTGTTAAACCATTTCCCTCTGTTTTGTCTTTCCCCCTACCTGTGTCGCCATCGTGGAAACAACCTTCATTTATGAAATGGGGAAGGAGGAAGGGGGAATAACC